TTTTCTAGTCAGTACAAAAGTGAAGCTGCTGTGATAATACATTTTTTTTCCCCAGCTTATTGAGAACCATGCACCCTCTGTTTCCCCTCAAGTGGCAGGAGGGGTGTGACTGGGTTAAAGGACTTCTGGTGAGAGGAGCTGCTCTTGCTGCAGCCTTTGGGTATCTGTCTCCTCCCCAGGGTACAGCAGGCTACCAGTACTGTTGAAATACCTGGAGTCCAGGTGGCATGGAAGGGGAGGGACTGTTACACCACAGTCCAAGGGATTTGATCAGGCAGTGTTAGAGACAGAGCTGTTACAGAGTGCAGTGTCCAGATTTTATGTTAATTTATTGAAATTTAATTAAGCCCCATTCTTTCTTGGCTTGTCCTGGTGCATCACCTTGTGTTCGGAAAGAATGTTGCTTGTGGCAAATTGTTCTGCACCATCTGTGTGTACCTAGGCATCTTTCAGTTGTACCATGAACTGCATTTTAAAACATTACAAGGGAAAAGGGCTCAACTTCCAGTCCTTATTTGGATGAGGGTTTAATTCATATATGTGAGAAGGGAGCCAAATTAGTCTCTGGCACTCTGCTGAGGGCTTCCTTTTAAAGGAAAAATATGCTAACTGATGTGGGAGTGATAGATGTACGGGGTACATACATTTGCATACTGTCCAGAATGGGTGGTGGTAGGTGACCATTCTTCTGTCCTAGTTCACAAATTAATTGTTTAGTTTTTATTGTAGCAATCTTCCTCAAACTAGCTGAAACATGCTTCCTAGGTGCAAGAAGTCCATAGCAAGGAAATGCATTATTAATTAAGGAAAATTCTTTGCCAGCCAATATCCTGGTCTGTAGCAGGAAGTATCTTCTTGACTTGAATAAAATTTGAGTCAGTGCTTTGGCTTATTAAATCTTCATGTTGAATATTTTGCCTGTTTAATGTTTTAAACTATTCTTTCATTCAAGTCCTTTCTAAAAGCTGGTAATAGCAGTCCAAAATTCTTGAAAGCCAGTAGGTGGCTTTCTGTCAGTAGGTGTTACCAGTGGGGCTGAAGGTAGCCTGTGAATATGGAATGGCAGGTCACAGGGTCACTGGTGCATCTTTAATGCTACCTGGCTGGTGTTACAAAGCCTTCAAGCAGGTTTTTGGCATTTCCTTTGCTGTCACTTTCTGTATTTATGCATCTTATTAGGTGCTGAATGAGAGCTCGTATTAGCCAAGTTCCTCAGGCGTTTCTGTGAGCTTGTTCTGTGCTGCTGGACAGACTCCACAGAGCTGGGAACCCACATTACTGTCCTTTGCTTCTTGCTAAGAGTGGAAATACTGTCTGGCATCCCACAGTCATGTCCTCATCCTAATAAGATTAGGAAAAGTGTGATGACGCAGTTTTACTGAGAGAGCAAACATTTCTGTGCCTCTCTGAATCTTCCTGTTGCAGAAAGAAAAGGGAAAAAAAATGAACAGTTTTGAGTCTTATTTTTGATGCTTTGTAGATAAGAGAACTAAAGTCATGCAAGTGTTTGAGTAATATTTTTTTTCGTTTTGCTTCCTAGTTTCTTCATTCTGTCTGATTAGAGAGATAAGACAGTTTTTGGCTAAGCTCTGTTAGCAATAGGGTTTAACTTGGCTCTGAGTTAACAGGGTATTCAACACATACATACAAATTGCTGTATTTTTTACCTTTCCTTCAGAGTATCTATTTTTTTCTTGTTCTAATAAATTAGCTTAGCTTGGGTTTTTTGCTTGGTTGTTTTGGTTTTTGTTTTTAAAAAAAGAAAGAAAACCAAACTCCCCAAAGGCTTTGGGGAGCCTCTATTACTTGCTTTGGCTATACCTCAGTGGTGGTGGGACTATGGGACAATTTAGTGTTTTAAGCCTTGTTCTTAAGACCTGGCTGTCTTGTCAGCTGGGCTTTACCAGCTGCGGGGGAGAGGGGTTAAAGTATAGTTAAGACTTGAGATTAATTGAATTTACTTGTGCACTGGTGGCTTTGCTCCAGTTTCCCAGGAGACTAAGCCATGAGTTGTAATGACAATGTTTTGCAAAGAACTTTAGAAAATGAGCTAAACATCCAATAAAAAGAACTGAGGTCTTAATGAGTAACTGTTCTCCCATTAAGGCTCTGTTCTTCCTTTGCTACTAAAAATAAATAAATAAATTTGTGCATTCTAATGTTGTTCATTAAAGTTCTGAGACTGGTAGCACAGATCCTTTTTGATGTTACCCTTTTCCCACCTTTTCTGAAAGCTTCTTTCAGGACTGTGACCTTTCTTTTTCCACTCTAAATTCCTGTGTAATACAGACACTAGAGGAGAAAGAAAAAAAAAAAAAAAAAAAGAAAATTTAGCAATTCCCACATAGAAGGCACTCACTTCCTGTGTAGAAGTAGTGCAGGCTGATTTTTCTTCTGTAAGTGCTTCAGAGTTCTCCTGGGGAAGCTCAGAATCTATTTAATTCAGAGTCAACTCTGCTCCTGTATCATACATGTTGTTTCTTCTTACTTGTTTTGATGAGTAGCATTTAAAAGCAGGTTTGTGACTGAGCTTACTGGGGCCTGCTGCTGAAAGCTCCCTTTGAATCTTCACAGTGATTTTGCAGAGAGAGGGTTCTGGATGAATTCTTAAAAAAGAATAAGAGGATGAGAGCAGTTAGGGCAGGGCAAAGAGTTGTGCTGGGGTGTGGGAGATGCTTCTTCCATTCTGACATGAATTCAGCCCTGGGGATTTTTTCAGAAAGCTGAAAGCTGCAAAATCACTGTGAAGATTCAAAGGGAGTTTTCAACCTTCAATAACCTTTCCTGTAACACAAAGTCATGAAGAAGTGTGCCAGAAATAAGATGTTTAACTGCCATGGTATCTGATAAGATAAAAAGGGGTTTTTGGAGTTTCCCATAAAACAGTGAAGTAGTCGAACCTTTTATTCCCTTAACTTTCAGCACTGTTAATAATTCATTTCCTGCATTCCTGGTGTTTGGGTTTTTTCCATGTTTGTATTCAATGAGTATTAGAGTTAATTTTTATCTTCTGAGCTCTAACATTCTCCATCTTGACATTTTTGTGCTATGTTTTTATTCAATCTGTTGTCATTCATAATGAGCTGAAAGCTTGTTAGATGCTGCTGTTGACAGGGGATTTCTAGCCCTGCCCAGAAAAATAACCTTGTGTTGCCCTGTGTCAGCCTGGGGCCCAAGGTGTGTCTCCAGCAAGGCTCACTCCTTGGCGGGTTTGAAGCAAATCTGCATCCCGGCTTTACGGCACCCAAGGACGAAATCCATCAGGATTGTTTCATGACAGCAATGTTCTGAAGGATAATGTGTTTTTTGACAGAAGTCACACACATCTCCGGTGACCTTCAACAGGACAGGCACGTGCTGCCCCTCCTTGCATGGGCAAGGATAATTCTGTCTTTCTCTGGGATTGTGAAGCATTTGCCTAGATTTCTGCCTGATGGTTTAGGTGGAATCATT